TTTTTACAACTCAACAACAAAAAGACAAATAATCCAACTGAAAAATGGGCAAAGAATCTGATCAAACATTTCTCCAAAGAAGATATGCAAATGGCCAATAAACACAAAAAAGATTCTAAACATCATTAGTTGTTAGAGAAATGCAAGTAAAAACCACAAGATAGTACTTCATACCCTGGAATGGCTATAATTTTTTTTAAAAAAAGAAAATAACAAATGTTAGAGAGGATATGGAGTAACTGAAAACTTCATACACTGTTGGTGAGAATATGAAATGGCACAGCCACCATGGAACAGTCTGGCAGTTCCTCAAAACATTCACAGTGATTACAGGACTCAGCAATTCTATACCTAGGTATACACCCAAGAAAACTGAAAACATGTATTCACAGCAGCATTGTTCATCATTGGAAACAACTCAAATGTACATCAACTGATGAACAAATAAAATGTGGTCCAGCTATACACCGGATTATTCGACCACAAAAAGAAATGAAGTACCAACACACGCTATAACATAGGCAAACCCTGCAAACAGTATACACTAAGGGAAAGAAAACAGGCACAGAAAGTCATGTGTTATATGATTCCATTTATATGAAATGTCTGGAGCAGGCAAATTGATAGTAACTTAATGGTTGTCAGGGGCTGGGAGCTAGTCGGTAGTTACTGCTAATGGATGCAGGTTTCTTTTCGGGATGATAAAACCTTCTGGAATTGGATAATGGTGGTAGTTCTCTAAGCTTGTGAATATACTGAAAACCACTGTGTACACTTTAAAATGACTTTTATGTTATGTGAAATTTTATTATCTGAAATATATCTCAATAAAAAATATGACTAGCAGGAAAAATAATACTAAGGTGGAAATTTCAGCTTAGTAAGAAAAGTCTAGCTGGAGAAACAGTTAAGAACTGGTTAAACGAATGAGGGAAATGCATGGATGAGGAGTATGTGTGTGTTATACCGAGTTTTATTTTTAAGAGACAGGGTCTCCGTCACCCAGGCTGGAGTACAGTGGCATGATCATAGCTCACTGCAGCCTCGACCTCCCAGGCTCAAGTGATCCTCCCGCCTCAGCCTCCCAAGAAGCTGGGACTACAGGCACGTGCCACCATGCCTGGCTCAACACTGAGTTTTAAAATTAAGACTTTCATAATGCGCATTAAAATCCTGGAATAAGAACATATTCATATTCATGAGGCAAACATCTATTTCAAATTAAAGATGCCCATATCCTCTCCCTTATCTTTCCTAACAATATCCGCGAGAACAAGGAAATGGCAACTCGATAGAACGAAGAGGCTGAGATGAGAATACCATTTTAATCTGGGTGCTGTCGGTCAGCTGCTGCACAGTGTAGGCATCTTCCGTGTTGTACTGGAGCAGGATGGCCATCTGGAATGTAGATGCCTTTGAGGCCCCCCATAGAAAAGAAAAAGAAGGAAAACTTAAATGCATGGAAACACCTCCAAAAATACATGGCCTAAGTCTGAAGAACTTATTTATGAAACAAATTCTTTAAACAAGTACAAACAAAGCGCAGATCTATTTAAAAGGGAATATAAAACGTGGCAATGCCACCACAATGCAACATCTTCCCAAAGTCATTCATCTTCCATGTTTTCAAACATTAAAATAATTTGAAGTTTTTTCAAAAAATGTATTGTCTATGTGGATATATACTATAGATATGTATGTCCCCACTCGTTTATAGCGAAAATCACATATACACACACCTGGTATATGTGGACATGTTAAGCATCAATCTCCAAATCTGTTTTTGGCACATGAGCTAAGAAGTATTATCTTTTGGCACATTATTGATGTAAAACAACACAAATATCAAATTATATTTGGTTTTCTAATCCTAAGTACTTTACTATGAAAGTAGGAAAAAAGTAAGTAAAGTATGAAATGGCAAGTGCACTAAAGGTTTTCTTTTTTTGAGACAAAGTCTTGCTCTGTCACCCAGGCTGGAGTGCAGTGGCACAATCTCAGCTCACTGCAACCTCTGCCTCCCAGGTTCAAGGGATTCTCCTGCCTCGGCCTCCCGAGTAGCTGGGACTATAGGCGAGCACCACCACGCCCAGCTAATTTTTGTATTTTTAGTAGAGATGGGGTTTCACCACGCTGGACAGACTGGTCTCGAATCCCTGACCTTGTGATCTGCCCGCCTCGGCCTCCCAAAGTGCTAGGATTACAGGCTGAGCCACTGTGCCCGGCCCTAAAGTATCTTCTAAAGACAGGTAGCACGCATTGGTTCCTGATCGCTGAGTGTGTGCGAGCGAATGAATGCCCCTGAAGACTCCTTCCTCTCTTCTCCCTCTATTCTTGCATAATCGACAGCAACAAGTAATGACCCATGACTGTCAGCCACTGCTCGCCCAGCCAAGACCTCAGTCAATGAAAAGAGAAACAAACAAAAAATGCCACATGCTCGTTTCAGGGGGGCCCACAGACAACAGTGCTTCCAGGGCCTTGAACAGAGACACAAGGGAATGAGTGTGTTGCTAATGTCTTCTATTGGGCCCGCTCCTGGCTACCTTAACATGGCAGACACACCCTAGGCAAAGCCTCCGCCTTGTCAAAAACTGGACACTGAAATTCCAGGTACTAGAGTCAAACACATGGATTCTTCTACGAATATTTAGGGATAAATGAAACAAAATTTCAATTATATAGTAAGAAACATTCAACTTGATAAAGACCTCTGGAGCCAGCGTAACAATACTATGCATTTTAACAATTTTAAGTCAGAGTAGATTTATGAAAAGTTTAAATTAATGAGCAGCTTGAGCCTGCAGAACAACCCATTCTGAAGTTTCTTAATACTTAAACATAGACTTGTAGTTGTTCTCAGAAGGTTATTGGTGAAACCTTCTCAGAGACTAAATTATGCCATTACTTGTGAAGCCCACTCTGTACAAAAGTGGAAGTAGAAAGAGCCTGGAGTCTTTTTTTCTTTTTACTTTAAAAAATTTATAGAGATGGGGTCTTGCTATGTTGTCCAGGCTTGTCTCAAACTTCTAGCCTCAAGCGATTCTCTGGCCTCAGCCTCCCAAAGTGTTAGGATTACCAGCATGAGCCACCACATCAGCCAAGCCTGAACTTTAAAAGACTTTAACTGAAATTTTGGCTCAGCTACAGATAAGCTAGGATTCAGAGAAATTCACTTCAATTAACCCAAGCCTCAGTTTTCTCACCTACAAAATGGAAATATTCTTAGTTACACAGTTATAAACTAGGTTACACTCAATATCGTTGTAAGCACTGTTGTTAATGTGAAACTGCTTTGTCAAAGGTGGAGAGCTGTTATAATTAAACGCACGCAACTCCACCGTTTTAAGCCACTACCTGAACACTTGATGTGTGTCCGGCAGGAGCCGTGCCAAACACTTAACTAAATACGTTATTTAACTTTCACATCAATTCCCAAGTATAAGCACTAACATCCCATGAATGGAGGAGAAAACTGAGGCTCACAATCATTAAATAACTTGTTCCCCAGCCAGAAAGAATTGGAATTTGGCTCCTCTGATTCTTACAACTCCATGCTTTAAACTTGCCACTATTTCACCAGAAGCTGAATTCTAGATTCTGCTGCTGAGTCAACTGCTAATGATTTCTATAATTTACCTTATGCTTATTTAGAACAGAAACATTTTAAGACACAAACGTGATCTTACCTGCAAAGTATATCTGTTTTTGAAGCAGTTAGTTACCAATTCTCCTTTAGACAACTGATATAACCACGTCAATTTTCGGCCACTGTGGCGGCTGGCGTAGAAAGCTGTGAATCGCTGATAACTACGTTCCAACTAGATAAAAGGACAGCATTATATGGAACACAGATCTTACCACGTCCTACAGGCAGCGTTTCTAAGCAAAGCACACTGTTCCAAGCCTACAGTACAAAGTCAGTGCTTATATAAAAGTAAAATACAAACGCCAGGTGTCTGCCTCTCTTGTAAAGCGCTTTAAGCACTGGAAGCTACGATCTTAAAAAACGTTCATACTTCAAGACCAGCAGGTTCGTCAAGGTGTTCATTACACAACTAATTAGGTTCTAATTACAATAAAGAAACGTGTGTAGAGTTGGGCCAGCCAGCCCACCTTTAGACATCCAGACCTGCCCCACCGCACAGGGCTCCTCCCTGAGTGCTGCCCCACGGTTCGCTGTGACGCAGCCAGCCGGCAGGAAGGCCGTCTGCAGGCCTATCCCCTTCCACAGCGAAGGCTGCCCCGCCCCACCCTCCGCCTAGCACTAATGGGACGGCAGATAAACCCATCCTTACCTCTGACGGCAAGGCGAACGTACACGACTGCTGGAAGGGCCAGGACCCCGAGCTCAGCACTTGAATGCTGAAGTCCACTGGGGGGCGGAAGAGAGGGGAGAGTGAACATTCTGGAATACATGAATTCGTTTATAAACTGAAAAATTCAATCATTTCAGATGAATGTAGGTTGCTCTTTATTAAAAAGCACATTAAATAAAAATCCGGCTTGAATATAAAATTAAGAATTGAGCATTTTATTCAATTAAAATTAGCCAAAAGCGCCAAGAGCCAGATATTCTTTTCTTCCCAAGAGTGACAGTCTTCATTTCGCTTCCACCTCGGAATTCGGCTGTCACATGCCTGCCCTGCTTCCCTTGCTTTCCTTTTCAGTCCCGAATCACTGAGTCCACTCAAGCCACCCCTGGGCTCGCCAGGCCCGGCATCATCACAGCCCCAGACTCATGGAAACTTACAAGCAGGAGAAAACTGCTAACTTCAGTACAGTGTGTGTTTCAGTTATTACTGTGAGAAGACACACATGGTCTATAAATTATAACAGTAATTTCATCTTCACAGATAGTTAAAAAGCCCACTGACAAAACTGTCCAGGTTTACAAAGGAATTGTTATCCTGATTTGGGAAAAATAAAACTCTCCATTTTTCATTTAAAAAGACAAAGATGATCAAAAGATGACATAAGCATAAATCTGCCATTCTACTACTATGCGAGGCCTTAAAATACCAGCTCAGCTGCCTCTCCTGGAGAACCGAATCACCTGTATCTGCCTGTACTGATCCCTAATCCCAGTCTGAAGCCACAGGTCTTTAGCTTGACTGTTACCTATGCAGGCCAAGGGAACATTAAAATAAATGCTAGAATGGATTCAAGCTAAGGTTTACTACAAGACAAAACCACGCCTGTGAGTCCCTCCCCAGATCCCAACAGGTGGTGACCTCGCCCCAGTACAGCTGACACCACTTCGGGGCTGTCATCTCCTAAGGTCACACGGGAGTTGGGGGAGGAGGGTTGGGCATTTGGGAAGAATCTCCTGATTCTTAGTTCTTGAATTTCTGACAACGTCCCTCCCATCTTCACCTAATACTTTGTCATTTCTTCATTTGCTACAAAGAACTCTGCCGTAAACACAACAGACAGACACACGGATACTCACAGTCTAGGGGTTCAGAATTTGTCAAGTGCTTTTTGAACTGCTCGTTCAGATCTTTGCTCACGCCAATGTCTTGGAACATGCGCTGAAGTTTAGAGGTGTACTCGAACCCGCAAGCTTGCTGAGAAGAACCCAGATGACTGTCTTATTAATTTGTATAAAAATATAAATGTATACAAGGGACTCTTAGAGAAATCAGAGTATACAATATATAATTATATGGAACTACTAGCAAAGCTAGTAACATTTTGCTATATTTTACAGTACAAATATGCATGGATTCATATTAATACACTGTCGAAAACCCCACAACTCTATGTTGCACAGTGAAGTCTTCGCACACACAATTCACGCACAATTTATGAGCATCTAAGAGCAAGGTGTCCTGGCACTATGGTAGAATACAGTGATGAAATAATTGGTCTCTATCTCTTACCAGAAACTGAACTGTGTGCCCCCAAAATCCCTGTGTTGAAGCCCAAACCTCCAATGTGATGCTATGTGGAGGGATGAGGTCTTGAAGGTGGGGCCTCACAACGGGACTGGTGCGCTTGTAAGAGACGCAGAGGAGCTCTGCGCTCTCTGTCACGTGAGGCACCGCAAGAAGGTGGCTGCCTGCACAGCCGGAAGAGGGCCCGCACCAGGAACCGAATCAGCAGGCACCCTGATCTCGGACTTGCAGCCTCCAGAATTGTGAGAAACAGTTTCTGTTGTTTAGACCACCTGGTCTATGGTATTCTCTCACGGCAGCCCACGCTGACAAAGATACCCACATAATTTCGGGTCACAGTAAAATATGCTCCAAGTCAGATAAGAGCAGTCGACAGCGCTGACAAACAGGTGCGCAAAGGAGGTGGCGGAAGAGCTGCCGACAGCAAAGTAACCAAGCCCAGAGCAAACAAAACCTCCACTCAGCTCCAAGGCCAAAGGTGTGGGAGGCAGGAGAGGCCCCACAGATGGTGCGCTGAGCCCAGCCAGGCCTGGGTAGGATGGAAGCCCCACGGGGGGCGTTGGGGGGAAGGGGTCAGGAAGGCACTGGGGCCCAACGAGAGTAGAGCGATAGTTGTGGGAGGCTTTCAGAAGAGCAGTGGCAGAGCTTCTTGTACAAACCACTGCACAAACTCCTCTGCCTGCCTCATAACATGGAGAGACTAAGAGCTGTTTTAATAATGACTCGCAAGCTGGGATTTTTCAGGAAGATGAAACTCACCTTTAACTTGGAGATCATGCTGGCTTCAGCATCGTCACTCGCGCTATTCTGGTGGACGAGCCTCTTGGCGAGCATCTTCGCATAGAACTTCTGAAATACGTCTTTGTCTTCTATGTACTTGAAGACAACCATCTGGCAAAGCCACCGAGACAACACACTTAACAAGCACACACACAAGCCGACAGTGCAGAACCGACTGTCACCGGCCACAAGCCAGGAGCCAAGATGTGCCCTTGGCTTTGGGCAGGTCTGCACGCCAGCGTTTATGACGGCAAAAACTCCACCCCAGAGTCCTGAAAGTTTTGTGAATCCCTTAATTCAGTGAGTTGGACTATTACTGAGAAAAATCTGAATGCTAAAAGTAGTAACTCAATTTCGGAAGTAAAACCATAGATTCAAAATAAAATCAATGATTATTACTTTTTACATTTCACAGGCCCTCTATAAATAACATGACAAACAGCTTGTGAAATACACAGCTACTAGAAATGGGTATGGTCATGAAGCACTTACCACTTGATTGAGTGTGTCTTCTAGTTCCGCCTCCTCTGGGTTCTTGGAACTGAAAATTTAAAAAAGAGACCATGTTTTAAAACATCAGTACATTTAAACAAGCACCACTCAGCCAGAAAGCAGGTTCAAGCATTCAGAAGATCAGTTCTCATCAGAAGAGTGCAGAGGAAGAGGGAAGGTTGACTTTCCTTACAAATTGGCAATCTCATACCATAACCTCATCGTTGAAGAACAGATTATGAAATAGTCATTTAGAATATCCAAGGTGAAAACCAACAGGAGATATTTATAAAACGTTTCCAAAAACATTCTGAAGAAGTTTGCCTTTAAGATAATCCACTTAAACTTCAGTAAAGGAAATTCACTTTACCAATTGCTTTCTAGTCCGCTGTAATTTAACTTTGGAGAAATAAAAAGGCACATAGATTCCCTTTCATGGCCCAGTCATTAAAGATAATGAAGGGGTTTAAATTCCTACTAAACTGCTGCCCTCTGTAGTTATATGTACAAGAGATGATTGTCCTTTAACAACTGATTCACTCTATGAACAAACAATAATTCAAAAGTGACTTAAAGGTAGATGAAGTTTTGTACAGGTCTTTTCTACAAGACCGCTTTATAAACAACACCCCTGATTCATAGAAAACGAATCAGCCACCACATAAACTCTGAAGATGTGTCTCCAACTGGAGAAGAGGTGTCTCCAACTTGAGAACAGTTGGTTCAGAAAACCCAGCCCTATTCTTGGCACTCTTGGGTCAGGGGTGTTCCTCTTCCCTCGAAGCAGTTTAACTTAGTGCCTCCCTGACTCCACTCGCCCAACACACACTCGTTAAATAGATGCTGTGGAAATGTCTCTGCCATTCTGTCTGCATCAGTGGCCTTAACCAGTAATCAGTAGACTTAACCAGTAATCAGTAGACTTAACCAGTAATCAGTAGACTTAACCAGGGACATTTATGAAAAGACAAGGGATAAAAAGGACACTAAGGCCAGGCAAGGTGGCTCACACCTGTAATCCTAGCACTTTGGGAGGCTGAGGTGGGTGGATCACTTGAGGTCAGGAGTTGGAGGCGAGCCTGGCCAACATGGTGAAACTCTGTCTCTACTGAAAAAAAAAAAAAAAAAATTAGCTGGGTGTGGTGGCATGCCTGTAGTCCCAGCTACTCAGGAGGCTAAGGCATGAGACTCGCTTAAACTCAGGAGGCAGAGGTTGCAGCGAGCCGAGATTATGCCACGGCATTCCAGCCTGGGTGACAGAGTGAGACTAAGTCTCAAAAAAAAAAAAAAAAAAAAAACCCACGATACTAAGTGTTCTGTCAAACAAACTGAAGACCCAGTAGAATATCGCCATAGTCACAATATGCAGCCCCCCCAGAATGAAACCAAGTCATAAGAGGCCTTCCAATTTAAAGCCCCTTCTCATTTCTGGAGAGGATCCGACTTGTTAAATTACACACTAACCCAGGAATAAATATTCCTGTTTATTGCAATAAACAAGAAAAAAAAAATCAAACACTCAAGAGTTTCTCACTGGCCTTGGGTAAACTGGGTTAAGAGAAAGCTATTGACTTTCATCAAATGTTCTCCCATCGTTTACCAAAAAGGCCACATAGTTTTTACACAGTTCTCTCTGTTAATGTAGTAAACTACATCAGACTTGGTACTGCTGGGTTATCCTGACGTTCCTAGAAAGCTATACTATGATTTGAAGAATTATTATTTAGTTCACAGGTAAATCTGGCTTGTTAATATTTTACTTAAGAATTCTGCAACTCTATTCTCAAGTGACACTTGTTTGTAGTCTTTTCATTCTGGTATGTGCGGGTATTCTCGGTCTCTTTTGTATTGGGGTTATGCTAGCCTTCAAGAGCTGTTTCAAATATAATTTATTAATATCAAAACCAGTATAATTTGGGAGTGGGGAAAACTATTGCAACAGAAAGCCAGAAGGAGACTGGCTTCCTTCATTAAAATCTTTAAAACGTATTGTTGTGATATTTGGAGTAGAGCATCTCTAAACTGAAAGAAACTTAAAGTGAAAGAGAAGCTGAGAGAAACCAGAACACACAAACAAAACAATCAGTGAGAACTTCAAAACACAACGCAGAGGAGAAAGCTATATATTATCTTGCTTCCAGATCTTAATACACATACACTGATTAGAAAACATATCAATTGAGAAATGAGATTCAAAAGTAAAGAATATGAAACAGCAACAGAAACTCATCTAACAAAAACAAATTTAAAACTACACAGAACAACAAAGGTAATCTACGGCCATACCACCCTGAACTGAACGTGCCCGATCTCGTCTGATCTCAGAAGCGAACAGGGTGGGGCCGGGTTAGTACTTGGATGGAGAATAACCAAAGTCCCACAATACACTGAGACACCTTCTGTTTTCAAAACAGCCAGTGGGAGGGAAGGCGGATTTTCAACCGGAAAGACGATTACGTTCAAGCATTTTCTCATGAGGCACAAAATTTACAATTTAAGGTATGTAAAATGTAATGTAAGTTTTAATTCCTCATATAAAAGCTGAGATTTTAAACAGGCAGACTAAGAAAACATAGGGTCATTTAATACCTTTTCTTCAACAAGGAGTCACAGTATCGAGCCAGCAACTCAGGGGATTTACTGGATGACTGGGCCATCTTGGTAACCGCATTGTTGTTTATGAAGCGACCACAAGCCTGTGTTACACAGAATACAGTTAGAGACAAATGCCCCATCCACATATACTACAGGCAAGTCACAACTGTCACACACCTACCTTATCGAGAGCAGCCACAAAGCCAGCGTCATTGTTGAATGCAGACATTACCAGGGCATTGTATTTTTTATGAACATCAAGCACTGTCTGTACATACATTTTGGGGTCCTTAAATGGGGGCAGAAATAGAAACAAAAGGTGGTTATTGGGGATTAAATTGTGTATTAATGTATACAATGCATGTACTAGTATATAAAATATTCTAAAAGCTATAGATACCTTTTCAAAGTTAAGAAATAAGATCAAGAAATACTTTTGGTACCATCACTGAAACACATAGGACATTTTGTTTACATACATAAAAAACAATCTATTCTCCACACTCAAAACTAAATATTGATTTCGAGCTTGCATTAAAAACAGTGAAAACTCAGAGATCACGAAAACAGCATTTTCCAAGCGACAGTTCTGCTTTGCCAATTTCTCCTTGTTAAACAGTCTGGACTGTTTCAGCTGGAGAAGGCCTTTAGCCGCCCAGGTCGGTCATCAGCCCGGCTGCGCAGGCAACGCGAGGGAAAGCGGGGCTCAGGGCGCGAGTCTGACTGGTCCCCCACCCACTGCAAACCAGAGGCGTGGATCTGCGTGGCGCTGCGAGGGGTCAGGGCCTCACCGCAGGACGGGAAGAGGGGCAGAGCACGGCGCAGGGCAGCAAAGGGGCCTCCCCGCAACAAGGAACAACATGGAAATGCAACGCGAAGGCTGGCCGCAGAGGCTGCTGTGGCCAAAGGCAGGCAGCGACAATGGAAAGCAAAGGAGACTGAGCTAAGTGCTAACAAGAAAAAGAGCGCTGCTGCTGGGCATGCAGTGCGCGCCACCACCAGCCTTTATGGGGCCGCGACAGCCCACGCTGGGAAGCAGGTGCTGTTTTCATCCCCATTCTACAGATGAGGAACTGTCCGTCACAGCTAAGCACACTGCCAAGGAACTGACGGCAGAGACGGGCTGCGCGGGAGCCGGGCTGGGAAGGTTGGTGGAAGGGAGCTCCGGACCACCCCTAGCCAAGCACAGACCCAGGCGCTGGGGCACGCCCGTGTTTCCACAACACCGATCCATTAATCTGCAGGGCTCAGGTGCCAGAAATCAGCATTCCCAATTCTACCTAGTCTGCATTTTTTATAACATTTGATTGATTTACTTGTTTTTAAAAAATAACGTGTAAAAGTAAGGATGAATGATTTTTCTGCAACAGGGTTACACTAGGAGTCAGAAGTTTCCTGTTAAAAAAAGCTCTATACAATAAATGCAAGGTTTATTATTATTATGAATATATTGTGATAAGTTCAATAAGATATAAATATGGTCTCCACCTGACATAAACATTTGATAAGAGAAAACATTAAAAGGGAACTTAATGCAAAATAATTGCCAAATAAAAATCACTTAATATTCAAAGGCAGTATTGCAGATATTTACTATTTTAAAATTACCATCTTAAAAATGTTAAAACACACAGAGCGTTAACTGCACTTCCAGATAGCCTTGCTCTTTGTTTCATGGCTATCCCAGACGTAGGGAAACTTCTTCCACTTTGCCTGGATGGTCTTAATCTTCAGAGTGAACCAAAAGCATCTCCAAGTTGGGCCATATCTTATTTCATATAAGCTTGCTTCTTTTAAACAATGAAAATATTTTCTGCTTGACCTAATTGTGGTTTTGCCACTGAAATAGATATTGCTGCAGCCAATTCAGATTTTTGATCACTTTCAGATTTCACATCAAATTATTCCAGAACATTCAGATATACTTCTCTCTGCCTTCCTTCTGTTACAGTATTTACAAAGTGCTCCAGCCTACAGCGAGGATTCAAACACTAGAAAGTGCTAGAAATGTTACTGGGTAGTTTTTGAATACGGTAACATGCAGGATCTCTTAACAAGTTAACAGCCCTACAAAGAACTGCGTGTCAAAACTGCCAATTTAAGGACTCAATTTGCTTCCAAAACTTGCTATTTTTTTGGAAGACCACTCGCAGGATTTATGTGTAGTACGTTATGTATATAAATATTAATACTTATTTTATTTGCAAGAATGACTTCACCCTTAGCAGCAGAGGGGCTACAGACCCATCTTACAAGGCCTTGCCCACCTGGCAGCCTGACCACTCAGCCTGCACGGCTTCCCTGCCACACGCCTTCACCCTCTTTCCCGAAAACGCCAGCCTCGACTTACTCCACGCTCTTGCTTGCGATCTGTCATTGGTGGACTCCTCTGAACCAGTGACATCTCTCTGTTGACTATAATGTTTCCGAATTATAATACTTTTCCGAATTTTCTCAAAATTTTTTGGCCATTTTTCATCAGATTTGGAATTTGGAAAAATACCATTTCCCAAGGAATGCCAGGAACAACTTCTCACATGGAAAGCCACATCTCCAGGAGTCAAGAAGTCTTCAGACTCCAATTCCAAAATGCTTTCAACTACAGCAGTCTGGCTGGTGAGATGGGAGGACTCGCATGGAACCTACTAAGGGAAGTGTGTCAAAACACTGGCCTTGGCTGGGCTCGGTAGCTCATACCTGTAATCCCAGCACTTTGGGAGGCTGAGGCGGGCACCATGAGGGTCAGGAGTTCTAGACCAGCCTGGCCAACATGGGGAAACCCCATCTCTACTAAAAATATAAAAAAATCAGCTGGGGGTGGTGGCGGGCACCTATAATCCCAGCTACTTGGGAGGCTGACGCAGGAGAATCGCTTGAACCCAGGAGACGGTGGTTGCAGTGAGCCGAGATTGCACCACTGCACTCCAGCCCGGGTGACAGTGTGAGACTCTGTTTAAAAAAAAAAAAAAAAATCTGGTCTTGAAAATGTGAATTTAGCATTTGAGGTTCAGAGAAAAGCCATTTAGGAACTGGTCAAGGAGCAGACAACACACTAGAATAACATAGGGGAGAGAATTTTAAGGAAATAGAGAAAACATGTACAAAAGGGGAGTAGATTTAACATTCGGGAGGTAAACGATGAAGAGAGGTTATAAAACTGTAAGGAGAGAGATCAGCTGGATCAAATGGATGTTTTTTTTTTTTTTTTCAGAAAACAAAGAACGAATGTTTGAGGTTTAAAAAAATAAGTAGTAATGGGTTTGACTCAGGACCCTCCACGTATTCACGGGAGCTTTTCACGTGTAAGAAACAGGACCTCTCCCAGGCTTGTCCCTCAGGGCTCATTCAACTCCTACGTGATTGCAGTTGTTACACTGAGGACAGACACATTCACGTCTACACCAAACTTCCCCTAGGTGAGCCCATGTGGCCTGCCCTGGGCCATCATGGGATTCCCAAAGCCTTATGTCATGAATGGCCTGATCCGCTCCCCAGTCCTGTGTTCTCTGGAGCTCTTCTTGGCAAGTGCCACCACTCACCCAGCAGCTTGTCAGGGCCCCAGGACTCAGTTCCTGCTTTCCCACTCATGACTCCTGTGAATCCACTCGATCCACATAACCTGTCCATTTCTTTTCAACGTTTTATTGTGGAAAAAATTCAAATATATTCACAATTAGAAAGAGCAGTAAAACTTACCCCATGTACTCATCATCCAGTTTTAACAACTGTCAAAACGCAAAACCTGTCGGTTACAAAGCCAGCGTCTCTGCATCATTCTTCTCTCCATTCCCCCCACGACCAGCCCCGTCTCCAGTGGGCCACTATCACTACCTGAACCATGACAACAAACCTAACTAACCTAACTGGCATACTTGTGTGTTAGTCAAGGTTCCCTAGAGGGACAGAACTAATAGGAGATCAATATACGGGAGTTCATTAAGTATTAACTTACACAATCACAAGGTCCTACAATAGGCTACCTGCAAGCTTGAGGAGCAAGGAGAGCCAGTCCGAGTCCCAAAACTGAAGAACCTGGAGTCTGATGTTCAAGGGCAGGAAGCATCCAGCATAGGAGAAAAATGTAGGCTGGGAGGCTAGGCCAGTCTTGCCTTTTCACGTTTTTCTGCCTGCCTTATATTCGCTGGAAGCTAATTAAATTGTGCCCACCCAGACTGAGGGTGGGTCTGCCTTCCCCAGACTCAAATGTTAATGTCCTTTGGCAACACCCTCACAGACATGCCCAGGAACAACACTTTGCATCCTTCAATCCAATCAAGTTGACACTCAGTATTAACCATCACAACTTGTAACAACTGTTCTTCTTTTCACCCACTTTCTACATGGCAGCAAGCACATATATCCCGTCAATTCCATGACTGTATCACTCTCCATTGGTTTCCTCGAGACCTTAGGATTAAGCCAGTATCATCAACACGGCTTTCAAGGTCTCTCCTGGTCTGGCCAGCCCATATACTGCCTTCATGCTTACCTTCTACCTCAGGTCATACCTGGTTTCTTCATTCTTAGAATGGGCTGTGTGTACGTCCACTGAGGGGCTTTGTTCTGTCTGGGATCCCCCTTTGCCCAGCTAGCTTTAACTCTTTTCTCCATCTCAAACACTTTTTTCAGGGACGCTTTCTCTGAATTTCCAAGATAGGCTGAGGCTGCCCTGCTGTTAGATTACCCAAACCCCATCCCAACACTAATCACACCTGCCAATTCCTTGCTAATGGCCTTTCTTGCTAGGCACATCTCAGTGCTGCCCACTGGGGCCATGTCTGCCTGCGACCACTGCCACACTTCTAAGTACCTAGTGAAGTGGCATTCATCAAATCATCTCCTAAATGGCTGAACCAGCAACATAATAATAATGATAACTGAATTACAACCTTTTATTCCATACGTTTCCACTAAAAGGATAATTCTAAAAGCCAATTTCACGAAGAGAAAATACACGTTAAGAGTCTCACATAACTTTTTATCCTACTCTTTCTTAAAAAGGTAAACCAAATATGGCATACAGAGAGGTCGGAGGGCATCATCTCATGGAGAGTTGGTATATATTTACACACAATTTCTGGGGGTCAGTTGTGATCCCAAGTGATACTTTAACACTCGAACACTTCCTAATAACCCAGCACCATTCAAGAATATTGCTAAAGAGGAATACTGGGGTGCTACAGGCTCGAGGGGAGCCTCCTTCACCATTTCGCGCACATAAACTGGTGCTCTCCAGGCTGAGGGGACAGATCTGACAGTCTGTGGAAAGCTGCTCTTGCCTACACTACC